TCCAACCTGGACTTCCCCCACCGCAATCCTTCCAAACACAGCGTTATTGCAAAGTTTCATGCTTTAATTCTTGATCCATTAGTATAACCCACAAATGGTTTCCATATGTTTTCAAATAGGTCTCCCTGTCCTATATTTTATACAAACCGCTCTCTCAGGAAATGCAGTCAGGGTAAGGCCTGACATCAGTTTCCATCTCTGTTGAATTAAAATTATTCTCTTTGCAGTCATCCATCCAGTGTGAAGCCAAGTTGCCTTCCTGGACAAAATGTTCTTCAAATCAGAAGCATCATTTACTCTGCATTCAGCTGGATTATAGCATCAAGCCTGCATCCAGAATGATGATCCTCTGCCTTTCCATAATATTCACATATAAGTGAACAGACCCAGAATATGTGATAAAGTCTCCTATATGGTTGTGAAACCTCCCGCAAACATTTATAGATCTCATACAAACTACCCATGTTCTCTGTTGCCCAGTATAGATTATGTACAGTTTTAAAACTGATTCTCCTGCCATTTACAGCAGTACTTCCAATGACTTCAGGTGAGTTACACTAGTGCGAGAGAAGACTCTGTCTTAGTACTTTTAAATTCATGTCCCCAACTAGTCTTATAATTAAGAAGCCAAATGTTTTCCCCATTACCTTTGGGTAACTTTCACCTATTCTGATCTCCCATGTGCTGTTAGGACCCACCACTAAACATACATATGTATATATATTTTATATTCTTAATGAGTTTCCTTCATGCAGCTGAGTTTTCTGAGCTTTATGGGCACATCAGTCAGGCGTTTTCTGTAAGGAATCACTCAATGATTTTTTCATACATAGTCACAGCTGTGAGCTCCACTCTTGCTGGAACTTTTTTTAAGTTGGAAAAAAAAAACTAAGTGGTTTATTTTCAGAAGAGCTGAGCAGCTACATATCCCATTCTATCTAGGTGGTAGTGCTGCAATTGCATAGGTGCAACAGAAGTTGAAAATCTGCTCTGCAGACTCTCGTCCTCTTGATGATGCCTCACCCTGAAAGACCCACAGACAGCTTTGGTGCTGGCTGAATCTGTGGCAAGGGCAGTTAGAAACCAAATGTCATAGGAAGTGAGAGAAAGACGGGGCCCCAGGATACAGGGCCGGCTCTACCATTTTTGCCACCCCAAGCAAAAAACAAAAAAGCCG